ATGTTAAATGTAATGCTATGTATATATACATTTGTAATTCCTATGTCCCGCAATTATTATTAGTGATGTTGGTAATGGTATTTTTCTCCCACCATCTCCATATATCCACCATTTTTATGTTAATGTTAAAAACTATGTAAGATAAACTCTCTTGCCATGAAGATCGCGAAACAAGTAACACTAAAATAAATTGGTATATTTTGAAGGAAGCATTTTATTTTTACCAGTAAACATACAGACACTGATTTGAAATAAAAAAAATTACAGGCAAATTATTGAAGGATATATTTAAGAGCACCATAGATAAACAAGTATGAAGAGTACGTCCCAACTAATGATTGAACGATGATTCTAACACAAAATTCTTAAAAAACAAAATCAGCACCGACATATGTTCCAAATTGGGTTAAAGCAAATTAATTTAGCATTCAGAACTTAAAAGTAGGTACAATGAGAAAACAAATTTAAAAAAGTGCTCAAAATTATAATAAAACAATCATCAACAACCCCAACAAGCTACCTTTAGAGTTGAATAACTCTACCCATCCTTTTAGACTTAAATGGTCAAAACTTTTTCATTTAACTGAATTAGTAAGAATTAACTGAGTGGCTAATTGTTAGTTTGTAATAGTTATTCATATTTTATTCACAGGCTATAGGGCATCCTTGATGTCGACAGCTGATGCTAAATAATTGATTTTTTTCCTTATGTAATAAGGAATAGATGATCAAGCTAAAAAATATGTGAAAGCTATGTCAAGCAGTAAAACGACAATGGTCTAGAAATCGGTCACTTAAAAATATAGACAACTTTATGCTTCCAATAACCTTTCCCTGGAATTGGTGCACTTTTTAATTTCATTGGGTAATCGGTATTAGAATTTATTTAGCCAGGCACTTGTCGTCATGTCTGTTTCCAAAACTAAGGTAAAATACAACAGCATAGATCTAAGACATGATTTAGAATATTTTTTTTAAAAATTATAAGTAAATTATTTAAAATATTATTAATAAAGAGTACTGAATAAAGACTATCAATATAAATTAATACACTTTTTTATTTATAGAATTGTAAACCAAACAATTTATTAGTCCCGTCGCATACCAACACGTGTCGTCATATCTGTCTGCAAAAAATGACCCTAGATTAAAGAGAAGACGCATATATAGGAACTCGTGCTATTGCCTCCTGATTGACGATAACAACTGTTTTCTACTGATTGTGAGATAGAATTTCAAGTCCACTATCATCAACTCAGAACACATACGCACTTTTCATAACGAGGGATGATTCTAAATTCCAGGAGGTAAATGAAAGAGTATATTTTGAATGAGAACCTGATGACCTGGATATGGTAATAGAAGAGTCTGCTATATTTAGACATTTGTTTTATATAATGTAAAATGATACAAGTTTGGTGATTTTTAATTCTCTGAAAGCAACCCTAAACCGTGCAACTATCCAAAGGTTTTAGGTTTAGCTCCGAGGAACTGTTCAGTAAAATGTATCAAATAAATCGTTTTTTTAACTTTTTTTTATAGAAATGCTAGCAATAACACCAAAAAAAAATCCAAAAAATATACTTGATCAAACATTCTGATCATGAAGAAACACTTCTACTTTTCTATCTAGGCTCAGTGCTCAATGAACTCATTATTTAAGTCCAAAATACTGTCCCTCTCATCCTAATATCTAGCAAGGGATTTGTTAGAACAAATACCCAACAGAAAAACATGAACAAGAAGAACATAAAAAATGTATCAATGGATGTACTTATTAGATTTATTTTTTGTTCTTTATTAATAATTGATTTTATACCTTATGTAATAGATGATCAAGCTAAAAAATACTGCCTCTCACAAGACTACCCAATATAAATTAGGATCAATTTGGACAATCAAAAAATATAAAGTGAATATTAGTAGTTGGTAAACACTTTTACCAATCGTCAATAATATAATTACCAGTACAGTTTTTCTCAAAATTAATCGAGTGTCGATTAACTATCACTGCCAATATAAAATAGACAAATACGAAATCATTCACATTGCAAATAATAACAAACAAATTAATCATATGTGTCGATCTTGAACCTACAGTCAATTTCAAATAACGATTTATCAACGTCATTGCAAAATTTTAGCGACGTTATAAATTTCTATCTTCAGTAGAATTGGATAATTGAAACTTTGTGTATGGAAACTTTGAAAGACGTCAGGATTTTTATATAATAAAATATTTAATCAGGCGTAGATTAAGTTTCGCTTAATTAATCAGTAATATATACAACACAAATGCTCATAAAATTAATTTATTTCTAATAATATTGGTAATGAGAAATCCATGTGGGCTTGATTAGAACAATAAAAAAATCATCAACAATGATCACTTGTAAAATCCAAACAAAAAGTTATCAAAAAGCTCATTGGGCCAGATCAAAAAGCTCATTGGGCCAAATCAAAAAGCTCATTGAGCCAGATCAAAAAGCTCATTGGGCCAGATCAAAGCTCACAATTTAGTAAAAGAAATGATTCTAAAATATTATTCAGGTAATATGAATGATTTTTAAATATCAAATATTCTGTACGTGTCATTCTACTAATCATGCATTTTAATGTAAAATGTGTGATAAAAAAGCATAGTACAAAAATACCACGTAGATAAGCAAAACCAAAATAGATGTGTTGAAAAACAATAATTTAAACTTAGAAATACTAGTCATTATAGTATTTTTCAATATAATTGAAATAATTTTAATACCAAATAATTAAAAATGAATCAGGTTTTGGTCGAAGTGTTTATTTGAATCGGTATATTATTCTCAATATATTCAAAAATTTAATGGTAACTCGAAAAAAAATTTATTCTTTCGGATCTAAACTATTTTTGTTCCAACTTAATCTCCAGTTCCAGCCTCTGAAAAATTAGTCCTCTTTAACTCCACTTTTATTATTAAGTAACTTAGATGTGTCTTAGAATAAATCTTCAAATTACTGACTATACCACAATAAAAGTATATGTAAGATTTTTTTTACAAAAGTTGTAAAACGTAAATACCTATCAGTTATTTTTGAATAGTACCTTTGCTTCAAGAACGTGACATTTTAGGGTTTGCAGCACGTGTAAAACGCAAGATTAAAAACAGCAAATTCTTGGAAGACTTTAGAATGAATTTTCTCACACGGATGTTGTAAAATTACCAATACACTGATATTTTTTGTATTTTTAAATTGATCTCACGTGTGCAAAGATAACATATGCTAAAAATCAGGCAAAGCATATTATAATCGTGAGATGAACTTTTCGCAATAGATTTGAATATAATAGATATATACTGTAGAATTATAGAGTTATAATAAATAATAAGTTAGTAGAAATAATTTTGTGTTTATAATATTAATCCATACTCCAAATATTACATGTTAAATCATTATATTAACACAAAACTGTGTTAGACATATTGCACTTCACTATTATAAAAAAAATAAAGCAATCGTTGTTAATAAATCAAATACTTGTTATTGAGCTATTTAAAGTTGGTTGAAAATGATAAGTATTAATTTTACTTCAAAGCCAAGACATTTGCATAAAGATAACCTAACTATTTTTGTACGTACTCTCTGTCAACAAATATTAGCATTAATTAATTAATTTCGCGAAAATAAAAATATTTATTTGAATAAATTTGTTTCAGGATTAATTTGCCTAAGTTTTTTTTATAATAGTAAACATAGTTTTTTATAGTAGTATCATGACTAAGAAAAATAAAATGTCTGCATTATTATTGCCAAAAAGCAGCTGAGTTGTGCCAGAAATTAAAATAATATAAGATACAGTATATGTATGGCAGATTGAATGATACACATATAAAAAAATAATTCACTAAAAATATGAAATTACGTATTAATCAGGGCAGGTCCTACCTTTAATGCGATGCATGCAAAATACGCCTTAGGGGGCGCCTACACAAGTTTTGGATGTTAAATTTTCAATATAGTTTTTTCTCAATATATAATTTCTTTGCATCTTTTACTAATCTTTCCATAATATTTTTAAATTTCGTAAAATTTTCACTTTATAACAACAAATGGGAAAGTACAGATGAATACATACAATTCGGCCCTCTCGATATCGATTAGGAGAAGTTTAAGATACAATTTTGGATATCTTAAATAAAAAAAAATTAAATTAATTTAATGCAACATGAAGTACCAGTGTTATGTTATAGTTATGTCATACCGTTTAAAGAACTTCAATTTTCAATATAGTGTGGGAATTGAGTCTCATCATTTTATTTATTTAAAGCAGTTCTACATTTAATTTCGCTCATATTATAAATGTATATGCATTTTGGCATGAAGAGTAATTTAAAAAACAATAATTAGTATTTTTATATAAACGGTAAATATTAGTATATTATATTAAAAAATTGCAGACATGGGTACGGGACAACGTCTGTCGGGTCATCCAGTATATAGTAAGTCAATAACTAGCAATCAATTATTTACTCTACAAAGCCACAAAAGAGTATAAAGAATCTCTATTCTGTCATATTTAACATCCATAAAATCTTCTTAAACAATGACATAACAACAACACACCATCTACAAAGTACAATTTGTCCGTAAGTAACTGACTATTATACTAATACAGTTCGGGAGTCGCGACGCGTCAGAACCGCGATTCGCTAAGCGCCAATAGCGTGCGAGGGGCCCGTCAGTATATAAGTCACGCTGGTCGGCCGGCCGATGTAGTATAAATCCTGATTCTCAAAGCGCCTGCACACGTGCTTACCGAATTAATTTATTTTACAAATGAGATTCAGTTAAAAATTAAAATCAGCTTAAATAAATCTTATATTTTATCATCGGAAGTTCATCCACCTGCGCCAGACGGTACTCGCTGGCTGCTTTTGGGGAATTTTATCAATATTTTGGTAAAAGATATCTCGTGGGTGGTCAACTCCGTGTTCAAAGTGATTATAGTTTAAAAGACTACAATTAAAATTTTATTGATTTATATCTGTTAATTAACTGTGATATAGTAATAAGTGTTAGCAAATAATCATCAGGTATGTTTCATTAATTGCACGTTGGGAAAATATTGTTTTCAATTTGCATATATTGAAGATGCATTTTTAGATCACGGTTTCACTAATTATATATAATATACAATTGCATATATATATATATATATATATATATATATATATATATAACAATTTATTCTGAGTGGTTAAATATTAATTTAGAAATATGAACAAACAGCATTATTTTTTTGCACTAATTTATTAAATAATATTAATTTTACAAACGTTTCGGGACTAGGTTTGTCTCATCATCAGTGTATTATAAATTAAAATTTAAAATATGAATATCTAAAATAGCATTATGTATTAACTCTTTCAACTTCTTGTTCTTACTCAGTAATATTATTTAATAAATTAGTGCAAAAAGTGCTGTTTGTTCATATTTCTAAATTAATATATATATATATATATATATATATATATATATATATATTATTTTTAAATACGTGATTAAATAATTAATGCTATATATAATTTGAAAACAATTGAAACATTGGAGATTTGAAATATGTACTGTATATTTTTAATTACTTTATTAATGTATATATATACATATAATTAATTATTAAAATAATTAAAAATATACAATACTTTATTTAAGATTATGTTTGAAGAATGCTTCATGCTTTTTTTAACTTAATATAATTCAATTAATTTTATAAGAATTGCGTGATGTTATTAAATTTTCATTTTTATATATAATTATTCTTTTGAGAACTTTTCCATACAAAAAGGCTAATTCTAAAGATACACTGCTATTGATCCTATCCTAACCCCAAATAACGCATCAGCGTAGATGCAATCTGTAGAATGAAAATAGATTTACTATAAGATCGGGGATAGTATTTCATTGTCGTGAATGTACAAAAATAAAATGAATACAGCATGATATATAGAAGAAACATGGGTAGAGTATATCTTCTTCCGATCGCAAAAAATTGTATTTTATAGTATCCAGTAGGATACCATAGAATGCTACCATTCAATGGTTCTACCATTTGGAGGTACATTTTTTCGCAGCAATCGCAAAGAACTTATTCATATTTTATAGCTAGAAGGTAGATAATATTAGCACAGTTCACAAACTAAAAATGATTAACTAACTATCTTATCGCATATAGACGGAAACGGAAATTTTATCATACTATATTTACACAAATTGGGATTCTAAAATGCAAGTTATTTTTAAAAATAATTAATGTACTATAACGGAAATTGCCAAAGAAACCAAATAAAATGCCACAAGAAAGCTCAGTATTTAATGCATTCATCCTAACAATTATGAAATTACAAGAATGGTAGTCTTTGAGTAATACTTGATTCTATTAATATTTATAAAATTGTAAAATATAAAATTGGGATTCTAAAAAGCAAGCTATTTTCAATAATAATTAATGCACTCCTACAGTAATTGCCAAATAAACCAAATAGGAGCCTGTAAAAAAGCTCAGTATTTAATGCATTAATCCTAACAATCATAAAATTCCAAGAACAGTAGCCCCTTTGAGTAATACTAGATTCTTTTAATATCAATGAAATTGTAAAATACAAAATTGGGATTCTGAAAAGCAAGTTATTTTTAATAATAATTAATGTACTCTATTCTAACAATTATAAAATTCCAAGAATAGTAGCCTTTGAGTAATACTAGATTCCATTAATATCTATAAAATTGTGAAATATAAAATTGGGATTCTAAAAAGCAAGTTATTTTTAATGATAATTAATGTACTTTAGCAGGAATTGCCAAGTAAACCAAATAGAAGGCTGCAAGAAAGCTCAGTATTTAATGCTTTCATCCTAGCAATTTTAAAAATTCTAAAAACAGCATCCGATTTAATAATACCATATTTTATTAATATCTATAAAATTGAGATTATAAAAAGCAAGTTATTTTTAAAAATAATCAATGTACTATAACAGAAATTTCTAAATAAACCAAATAGAAGCCTCTGAGAAAGCTCAGTATTTGATGCACCCCAACACCTCACCCTAACAATTATAACATCCCAAGAACATTCTAAAAATTATAAAATTTCAAATACTATATTTTATTGATATTTATATAACTGTATAATCTATATATAAAATTGAGATTTAAAGAACAAGTAATTTTTAATGATTATTTATGTACTAAAAGCGCGATTACGGTTTCTGTAATACATTTGTAGTCTATATTTTTCTATATACCATATTAAAAATAATTTTATGAATAAATCTAGCTTATCATACTGAAGCAAATATATTAATTCAACCGCCTATTCAATACAACAATTATTTTTTTATGTGCAATATTTTCCGAGTAAAGTTTCCCACGCCGATATTAAACTGTGTTAACAGAGGAAATTATTGCACACATATTTGTTTATACAATTAGCTATAAACAAAGATACGTATTAACAGATGTTTTACGTTTTTTTTAATACTAATCTATGTAGATTAATATAATCAGAATGTTTACATAACAAGCTTATTACGGCGATAATAAACCTATTCAAATTAGCATTGCACCAACAACAGAATTATAAGAATAAACATTTGTACTAGATAGAACGACTATTTTAAGAATTTTTATTCAATACAATGTATGAACTAAAAATTTAGAAAATGTCGAGAAAATGCACGTTTCGCCAAGTGGAGACTTTTTATACTGAACAATTTCACGGTGCATTTAGCCAAGCATGTCGAAGCATATTGCAAATTATTTAAGGTGATAAAAAACACGTAGGTAATTTAGGAATTGTTAAACAATATTAGATTTTTTTATAAAAAATTCCTTATTTTTAAGTTCATTCAAATATTTTAAAATGTATAACAAATTCACATAAACTTATTGCGTCACATTATAAATTATGTAATCTAAGAAACTATATAAATTTGAATATTTGCATGTACTTTTTACAGTACGATTTCACAGTTATTTAAACAATTATTTACATTAAATTTTGCGATCTGGCACAAAATTGTGGACACTTACTCTTTTCACCAATATAAATTATATTAGTGCAATTCTAATTATTCTGGCTATTTATATTCTCTGTTATATTGAACTTGTTATTTAAACAGGATGCGTTTCTATATTATATTATATAATATTATAAATATAGAGTAGGTAAAAAATTAGAATAAATAGAACCACAGTAAATAAATTGAATATTCAAAATTATTATATATTTCTAATGATCAGTGTAACGTCCTTATATTAGGGCCACAATTATAAGGCAATAAATAATAATAACATATTAAAATAATTGAGGTTTTTTTACGGATATTATATGTACCCTTAGAAATTTAAATTTATATATTAATATATACTATTACAATATATATGCTGTAATTGACATAATGAGAGATAAATAACCTCAATTATATTAAAAAAAATATTTTTTATGACAATTTTTTATCGTTTTTTTAGAACGTTACACTGACAATTAGATTTATAAGAAATTTTTAAAATAAGTTAAGGTTTTTGTCTATGGCTTGTTCTTTATAATCTTTAAGTATATGTAGATTTTAAGGCAGCGTCATTTAACACAAGAAATAAAAAAAAAAAATAATAGGAATGCTAGTAAGAATTTTTGGAAACAAAATAACTAAAAAAACTTTTGGAAAAAAAATAACTAAAGTAATGAAGTAATAAAAAACGTACCAAAAATTAGAAGAAATTTTATTAGAATAACATGATTCCTATCAGATGATCATCAGTGACCATCATGGTGCAATATTTAAATCTGAATGGTACATTGGAAGCTTCTACTTCCAAAAATAAAAAATAAAATAAAAATAAAAATATATAGAATTATCCTTAATTAATAAAAGTGGCCCAGAGTATAAGAGTTTGTAACTATATGATTCCTGATCCATTAGATTCTCAATTTAATATCAAGCAGCAGTTATATCCGTTTTTACTTGAATATATAGATCCAAATATTTTCAAGTAGAAAATGCATTTGGTGCAATATTGCAATGAATTAGAATATTTGATCATAATTTGTTTTATATAATCTATAAGTACACGTAGATTTTAGGGCATTATCATAAAAAACAAGAAACAAAAAATAAAAAACCTAAGAGTAAAAGTAATAAAGTTCTAATAATCATCAGTACCAAAATTTAAGAGAAATTTAAAAAAAAATAACATTATTCCTATCAGATGATGATCAGTGACCAACATGGTGCAAAATTTAGTTCAGAACAGAAAAAGATAAAATTATTCTTGAAAATAAAAGTAGCTCGGAGGTAAAGGCTTGTAGCTATATGATTCTTGATCCATTAGATTCTTAATCCAATATCAAGCAGTAGTTATATTCGTTTTTACTTGAAAATATAGATCTAAATATAATTTCAAGTAGAAATAGCATTTAAAGCAATATTGCAACAAATTAAAATATTTGGTCGTATTTGGAGAGGATGACATTGGGTTATGATCTATGAAAATGTTCAACTTATATAACACCTTCTATTTAAGAGGTATAAGAGCACCACAAAAAGATAAAACCAATATATGATTTTATATTGGAAGTAAAGTCAATATCAAAAAATGATATTAAATCATTTTCCCGAAGTTCTTTTATATATGTACGAACTGAAATCGAACGTATTTGATTATAGTGTAGCAATGTGTGTTTATAAATTATATGGGAGACAAAAAGATCAATTGCAATTGATGGCAACACACTATTGGCGAAATACGGTGGCATGATCGAGCCCATCAAACGAAGCCACTCATTTCGAACAACACTTGCTCAATTATTATTGAGTTGTTTACCTCTTGTTGTTTGTGCGAATTGTTTTCCCATACACGAATACATTTTTTAAATTATGATCATTCAGATGGACCATCATAAATGAATCAGGAATTCGACTTCAATATTCGAAGAATTTTATATGCAAAATTTCTCATAAATTTCATTACTACTATATTTTTAAACAGTTCTGTCGCAGGATTAATTGCTCAATTATTTGTTACTTGATTTTATCCCATTAATTATCACAAAAATAAAAAATTTCTTTATTATTTATTCAATTTTATCTTATTTCCTCTTCTTTTTCTTTTTTTATTGTTACTTCATTTGCAATACACTATTTTTATTATTACTCCAGTCAATGGAGCGTTTTGGGTCTGAATTTTTTACTGTGCTCCAATTTTCATAAAATTTTGGAATTAGGTTCATCTTACCCACAAGTTCAAAAGTGAAAACAAAAAGGGATACCAATGGGTAAACTCTATTTTGATTGTATCAATACATATTGTCATTCATAATTACTAAATGGTTTTTGTATTTTAAAAGCAAATTGTATTTGAATCTTGAGAAATAAAAAAAATGCCTACTAATGATCATTACTAATCATTGATCATTCAGATGGACCATCATAATTTAGTCTCAATTGCTTTAGGAATTTGTCTCAAATATTCCAAGAATTGTGTATGCAAAAAATTTAAAAACTTCTTATAAATTATATTACTAATAAATTTTTTAAATAGTTTTTTCGCATGACTAATCGCTTCATTATTTATTATATAATTTTATATTATTAAATATTAATTTTATTTTATTAGAACACAAAAATGAAACATTTTCTCTAATGCCTAATATAAATTAACGAAGATTAGTAAAAATTGAAGTGTTAAATTAAATAAATAAATTATTATTATAATATATACGTATTTCGATATATAGGTTGTATGAACATTTTCAATTTCGTCTTATTATGAAAAATCATATAAAATAGATACTTTTCTAATTAACTTTTGAATGTCTCATATTCAATCAATACCATTATGAATCATAATAAATTTTTTGTATAATATTATATCATAGGATCTTATTTTCACTTTTTTTATTTTTCAATAGATAATTATTAGTTCTATTTATTAGAAAAATGATTTTTGATAATCATGTGCCGTGCGATAATCAAGACATTAAATGCAGATTAAAATTAAAATTAAAGTAAAAATAATATTTAAAAATATTTATATTAATGAAATTTTGCGAGATTGATAAAGCGTACTAAAATTTAAGAAATATTAATACTGTTTGTCTACTGGATTTATCATATTCATTTGAAAAATGAACGCTATTAAATGTTATAAAAAAACGTTACTAAATGTTAATCATTTTTGTAACAAGCACACGCACACCTATTTAAATTTATTTATTTATCTATTTAAATTGTCAATAAGTTAACTTTAAAAAATATAATACAAATTATAAGTCAAGCTGGAATAATTACATATAGTAAATAACCCTGAGATTAATAATTATATGTTATTACTAATAACATTATTACGGACACGCTAACATATAGTTATGAAAAATCCTCAGTCTCTAAGAACACGAAAATATATTACATTATAATAGTATATTGCAATTAAATGCAAATTTCAAAATCATTATGAATTATGAATTAAATAAGTAATAAAATGCTCAGCAAATCTACAGTAACTGCGATAAAATCTCAAGTATTTATCGGCAATTTATATGCCATTTTCACACTGATATATTATTAATTACAGTTTAGTCGAATTAATGGATTAATAGAAAAAAATGGTAATGGTCATATAATTATATGGATATATATATATATATATATATATATATATATATATGCAAATAATTTTAGTCTACACATTATCTCTATACTCTATTCAATATCCATTATAAAAGTTTTAGTGAATAGCCTTGTTCTGCAATGTATTCTGACTTTTTTTGCAATTATTGTAATATTATTTACGATAATTGCTTATTTTAACAATAAAGGTAATTACATGTTTATGAGACATGTAGAATTTTTACTTCGTATTAGAAATCTTTAATTCGAATTAGGATTTGAATAAATAGTAAAACACTGTGAAATGATTTCATGATCATATGACATGGATTGAATTATTAATCTATCTGAACCTTATCTCTATTTTTATCGCATTGACAATTAAAATAATTAATTCCTTTTAATCGATGAGTTTTAATAAATAAAACATAATTACTCAGTATCAAAACGTTGTAATTCTAATTTTTTCCACGAAAATTTGATACTGTGTTTGTTTTAGGTTAAAAATTTTTAGATCTTTTATTGATGAAAAGATTTCAAATTGAACACATCACGCAATTCTTAGGAAATTTTATTGAAATACTTTAATATTTAAGTGATAAATACATTTTATTCTAATATTGATATTTTCTAAACATTTTAATATTTAGAACTTTTCTAACATTTTAAAATATATTTTTTTATTGCAGATTAGACAATGGCGTTGTCGGAAGGTGCTTTAGCCAAAAGGCTATCAAGTAAGTCCAATTCATATCCCTATTTGAGCATTTATATATATATATATATACGAGTATATATATATATATATATATATATATATTATATATATATACATATGCTTTTTATCAATTTGGAATCATTTGAGCCCTTAGGAGCAAGGACATTCGAAAATATCCATATTAAGGACTACCCTAATATATGGTATATTTATACATACATATATATATATATATATATATATATATAAACGAATCCAAATAATGCCTATACGATGCACAATTGTATGAAGCCATACAGCAAACGTTGTGTAAGGACATGAACTCAAAAACTACTTCAGCTAAAATACTATGTAAATAAAATTATAAGGTTATTTTTGTATCCATTTCATATTTTAGAAAAATAAAATTAGGGTAGCATATCCAACCCTTTCCATGTCATAAAGTAATAATCAACCAAAGCCTAAAATAATGTTATGATGATTATCATCCATTAGGCAAATGTCTTAAGATGCCAGTTACAAATCAGATTTTAATTAATATTATTAAGTTAGAATTATTAATACGATTTGTTAGTTTCTCTATCCCGTTGTACTTATTTAAATACCAGGTAAGAAAATGAAAATTTGTAATCACTGATGATAAAAATGAAAGTGAAAATTATAATATTGCATATAACTTATGGTGAAATATTTCTTGTACTTTGTAATATACCAGGTTTGAAAAACCTGAATTAAAATGTCAATGAGGAATTGCTGTAATAACAGAGTATTCAAAACACATGACATTGTGGTAATTGTAACGCAGGATACAGCAAGTTCTATGTAATTAGAAAAATTAAACTTATTTAGAAACTTGTCTTCTATGACTTATATATAATGTGAACAACATATTTTTAGAGCAAACACAGCATGTTTTGAAGTTTTAATTAACAAAAAAATTATAAAAGAGAAAACAACAATGTTTATTTGATTCATTCTGACTAAAACACTGGAGGACGATGTTATTCATATCCATCGAACTTTCATAAGTTTATTTGACCTATACACTATCAAGTTTTTTTTAAAAAAATAGTGCATATTAAGACATAAGCGGTTCAACACATAGTGGATAATGTAGAAATAATAGTTCTAATTTCTTAATTATTGTATTTAATTTAACACGTGTTTTAACGTTTCCTTACTTAATTCACCAAGAAAAAAAACAATTACAATTTTTGTTTAAATTTTGAACCAAACCAATATTTATACTTCATCACCTGGTAAATAAATTTTGCTCTAAATGCTATCTAACAATTATCCAGATTTGCCCAATTTAGATGTTTTAATTTTATAAAACTTCAGTTTTAATTTATGTATATTACTACAGTTCTTTATGGAATAAAAATCGATAAAATAAATTAATAAAATTGCCAAGAACATTATCGCAAATAAGAAGTTGAAATGCATTTAGCTCTATAATAAATCTAATAAATTAATTTTGGACACTTTTTCAAACTGTGTTCGAAGTTTAACCAATTTATCCGGAAGGTAAGATTATAAAATTTAATCTATTAATACCTCCTGTTATTATGCACTAAATATATTGTAATTCATAGATAATCTAATTCAAAATTAAAGAGTTGTTTTCTACACATTATCAGTCAAAGGAAGAAAGTAGTTGCTTCTTTACTACATGTTCGACGTAAATATATAAATCAATAACGACTTGTGAATAAATAAACAACGAAATATTCTCATACGTCAATCAGTTTGTTTGTCCAGAACATGGGATAAACCTAGACCTAGTTATTTACTATATTACAAAACTACATTTTAGGGAATACATTCAATAACAATAAAGTACAAAAAATAAGATAGTCCTCAATGATAAAATACTTCTTTTGAGATATATTAGAGTGGGTCAAAAAAGTCGCTTAGGTACATGTGAACCTCTAAAATAAATTCTGATGTCCCAGGTGCATTGAGCCAAAAATTAGGGTTAAAAATCGAAAAATTCTGTTTAGATTAGAGTATCCCAACCGCATCCAAATCCACTAACTTCGGAAGGCCAATCCATCAATTCCTGTGGTTCACCTCCTGGGACCCTCCTTAAGAGGTTATTCAACATTTAAACCTTATCCTTAGGTCATTGCACGAGACATCAGAATTCAATTTAGATGTATGGTTTCTTCAGAAAAGTATCTTATTTTGATTATATAGATAACCTCTCACTGATCCGACATTTTGATAGAGTATCTGACACCCCCGCGACCGATTTTTTTAGAAACTTTTGGAAACTTTAACGTTATCTCCAATATCATATGTAAAAAATCATGGCTATTTCACTATAATCCAATAATCCGACACCCTCTGGTTTTTAGTAGATTGGAATCAGCGTCTACTCTCTATATATGAATGTATGTATATGTCTATTACATTGTGTGTATATATTACAATGTCAATAAATACAAAATTTATGATGATTGCAGTGAATCAATGAACCGTGGACATTAATGTAATTGGAACGTAATTATTAATGCCATCGTATTGATAACATTTTGACCCCGTGACGTCTACGGAATATCATACGTATGATTACGAGCAAAGGTTACGTCCAACGCCAAAGTCTTATCATATAAATATATGATGCTAGACATGCGTTATCTAATATTACCTAGGAAAAAAAAATTGATCCCTAACGAAAAGGTTACAAAATTCATACTTGTGGAAATTCAAAGTTCAAAGTGAAAAATTGGCTCACACATACACCTACTTTTTCCCAATTTGGTCTCAAACAATTCAGAAAAAACTTGAAACGTCGAGAAACCATTTTTCTTCGTAAAATTTATAATAAAGTTGTACATACTTATAGTATGTGGGCAAATGTTCTAGCAAAGCCTGAAAAAATCATATGGTTTCTATAGTGATTGGCTACATATGTGTATGAAAAATAAAATCTTCTGTTCAAAACACTTATTAATGTGTTTCATCCATGAATTATGAAATATATTTATATTTCTTTTAATCCTGAAAATTGGTTTTATAAAATAATTTCCTAAGTACATAAGCTCAGCAATTTATTACAAGACGTGAGAAAGTAAAACAAATCAGCACATTACACACTTGATCTATTTTCGCGACGTGATTCTATGCAAACACAAGGACATATTTATATAGCAAGACATAAAACCCAAACAAATAAGAAAAGCGATACATTGATTACACAACTGTCTTAATATGTGAATGAAAAACGGAAAAGCTCAATTCATACACAAAATGTATTTTTAGACATTTGATGTGTGAAGATATCTATGCACGGATTTTTAAACAAAGTTTTTGCCATTTCATTCTTTCACAAACTACATATGACCGTATGAATTTTTCGTTCTCTATAATGAATGTGAATAATAAAACTTCTTTCATAAATATCTTTTCGTTCATAAAATTACAATATGCCTAATAAGACATTTAGTAATTTTAATGGTCAATATATAGTGAATTATTGCCAAAGTTGCAGGAGAATTTAAAACAAGTACAAAGGTTGATTAAAATAAGTACTCCTAATAAATTACCTGTGTTGCAACCGGAAACTGTTTTGGCACCCCAAAAGGCTGATAAGAAGAGCTTTTTGCCTTTATTTGGTGAACGATCTGGTTTTAAGAAAAAAGTGGATATCAGGAAGGTAATTGTGGAACAGTCTTGGAAAATTGACACAGGAGATGCTGATGAACCAGAAAGTGATGAAGAAAACCAAGTTGATGATAAGAATGCACACAACAAAAATCCCAAAACCTCTCTGGATACAACTCAAAACAAACTGAAGAATGCTAACATTTTAGATTTAAGATTCTTAACCAACCCTAATGAAAATTTGGGGTGGATTTTAACGATTTTAACAATTAATGTCAACTTATGACATGCCTACCAAAGAAGAACTTCATGCTTTTGCCTTAGATATTATATATATATAGGTCTACGACATTTGATACTTCAAAGTTTGGAATAATTTCAGAACATACAATGACTATTTTTCGCCACCGGTATCGATATCTCCATTAATTGAGTTAAATCTAGAAGATTATGGGTGAATTCAAGAGAGCATTCGACTTAGGATCAGTTTACTTGAAAATAATTTGAGTTAGTGAAGATAAGCTTTAATAGAAAGGCTAAGAATTTGATGGCAATCTAGACAGTATTACAATACATAAAGCAAAAATGCTTACAATTTATTTATCTTTTCATTGTTTATGCTTTCGCTTTGTTCCAAATATTATAAATAACACTATTATCATTTTTTATTTCGCAACGGTTCCATTAATAAAACAATATAGTTAAAAATAGCTGAGTTTGTGATTTAAGAATGAAGAAAAGTGATATCGTGACCCTGAGATTAAATGTTTCAATATATACGTCAATGACTACATAGCACCACAAATTATATTTTCGCGGCATGCAAAAAGCACGTGCCATTGCCAAATCATTTTGAGAAATTTGAAATTACTGATGAGATAATATCGTTTTTATTTTGCTGAGATGATGTTTGGTTAGATTTTATGGATTTATCAGCAAAACGCAGATTTCATAATAGATGCATAAAATTATGCTTATACTAAGTAAGAACTGAAAGGACATATTCCACAAATACGATTTAGTGTATAAATTTAGTAGTAATAGTGTTTAGTTCAGTTAAATATTTTTTAATTTAATAAAAAATAGTATAATTTTAGTAAAAACTCATAAGTATTTGTATGCAGGGGATTTAAATGTAGAGTCCAAAAAACACAGGAGCCGCAGTCTTTTCAAGAAACTTTTCCAAAGAAACTAGAGCTCGAAAGTGAATTTCGAACCAGAGAAATTTTCAACATAGATTTTTCTTGAAATATTTAAATTTCAACTTAAATATTTAGCATTGAAAAAAGAAAAATATTATTTATTTATAAATTGTTAAATATCATTATAAATACTGTGACTAATTAATTAATCGATTATAAACTGCTTGTTATTGAAATTAAAGAAAACAAATATCAATCATATGATTATTTTCTTCAATCGATTCGTTCTCAAATTAAATGACGAGATCGTTTATGAATTCATCACGATCATTTTATATAACATATGTTACATCATATGAAACTATTGTTAGATATTATTAATTTGCGCACTTGTCACGTCTCATGAAACCAATTTTAAAAATTGCAAACGAATCTTAAGCCGAAGCAAAATATACAGGACCCCGTTAAGACGACCATGTTTGATACTATTTTTCTCATAATACACCACGAAGACGCGTTTTGTCTCTTAAGACGCGTTTTTCTTTCGGCCTTCGGAAAACGACTTGACGGGGTTTTACAGTACATGATATTAACCCTTACCACTCGCTAATTCCGGAGTTAGTATGTAGTTTGCGGCATGCGAGTGGAAAGGGTTAAAATATATTTTTTATAATTGTTTATGATATTGAAAAAAAATATGTATGGTAGCTAAACTGAATTCGATAGATCAATTAGTTGTGCCTCCATTTTATATGTGATCTCTAGATTTTATTCTCTTCCGTTTAAAAAAATGACTAGACGTTGCGTGATAAATAATAAGCAAAAATAATTTTTATGTATAATGTATAATATATATATATATATATATATATATATATACATATATAATTATCCAAGACTGGTAATAGAAAATCCTTGGCAATGATGACCTTGCCATCATTATTCTGACCACTGGAACAACGCCAGTACTAAAAGTACTAAGTATTATTTCAACAAAACTATATTTAGATTATGTATATCTTCTGTCTACAAAAAATAGCAATTACATCCTCGTTTGTTTATTATTTAATACCAACAACTGGTCGTAATAGATACCATTATTACCTTTTACTCACGAAAATAAAGTATCAATCATTTCTTCAAAGTATCGCAAATTAAATTAAACTCATACAAAAACAAATTGAACAATTTTCGGACAGGAAATTATCAATTGATTCAACAATACTATTATTTAAATTGCCATTGTATTTTTGATAATGCACAAGTACTTATTTTTCTAAACTTCGCCACAACACTAAAAATTGATTGATTGTCAACAGGATGAAAAAATATTTGACAAAAATAATTTAGGCTACATCTAAATTACTTTCATTGACAGTAATAATAATTCAGCAGTAAAAATTTTGCTTTGTGGAAAAATTTATAGATAAAATGCTAACGATTATCAGACAAAAATTACATCATGTTGTCGTTCCTAATTGAGCTTAAAATAGATTGGAAATATCATTAGACATTTTTTCAGCTAAAGATCATTAAAAATCCAAACATTTTAGAGAAAAAAATATAATTAGTCATTGAAGTCATAATTATATGCAAAAATAAATATCTCGACAGGTCAAGAAGTTATAACACCGTTATTTGATAACAAACTATCAATTTTTAATTAGGATATGCCAATTTGTATATTATATGTATTATTCAATATCAACGTTCCGCAAACAAAAATAACACTTTTTACCAGATATTCAATAAAAAAGCAATTTTTTTTATATACATTAGATACAAGCGCTTATTTTAGTAAATAAGTCCTGAGTGAACAAGTATGACTTGCACTACATATGTTTTTTTGTAAATATTCAATTATATTTAAATGTACTACTATCAATTTAAGCCCTTTAATATTTTAATATATTTTTCATTGGTCAGTGTTTGCACAATTGTTGATTGCACTTAATTATAATAAAAGTTGAAAAATTAATTGGTAAATTACACAACCCTTAGAGCTAATTGACCTATAAGCTTCCCGTTTGTTTATCTATGATCTAAGTCAAAATCTAGTATCATACTGCTTGATATTGAGCTGGCCGAGGTTGGGATAAAACCCACTGGCCCACGTTCTTGACCACTACCCTAACACGAGCTTAGTTAGTGAATATTAGGAAAAATTAATAAAAAAAATCTTAGTCATCAAATGTTATGTAATTCCTTCATAGTCCCTGACCTATTTAGATACGTAATAGTTGATGCACTACATCGGAAAATCAATATTTTTCAATTAGATGAATAAATGGAGTAGATCAAAAAGGTTAAAACAAGATATGCATATGCGTATATATATAGATAATCAAAAAGTTTATTTCCACGTTTTAGAAATGCGAAAGCTAATATAGTAATAAATCAATAACTTTATTGAACCGTGAATTCACGCCAACGTTATCTTCGGTTAATTTCCAATAACACTGAATAAATATTGTACTTGATAAATCGAAATATTTATTAAATATTTCCGATGCTGCTAAGTCTTTGTTTTATAAACTTTGCTATATCTCATTCGATTTTCTTTAGGAATTGTTTGGAATTATTTCTTTGAAAATAAAATTCTTGGCATGCCCGTGATTGTTGATACCAGGGATTGATTAATTTGCATGTCGCGAACGTTTTAGTCATAATTGTGATGCCAAAGGAATATAATTCTTATTAGCAAACGTTTAATTAACTAGAAAGTGAAGTATAATTTTTTAGTTAAATAACAAAATAATTCTTTACTCATTCAAAATTGTGAAATCGTATTTCCTATTGGATTTACAAATAATCTTTGAATTACAGAGGATTTTTCAGTTCATTTTTGACTTGAGAGTAAGGTAAGTTTTTCAATTTGAATAAAAATCGAAATCATGTTAATAATTGTAATTAATTGAAAATTCTATTAATTTTGAATTATTTACGAAAATTATATATACATTAGAGCGGGTCGATTTAAAAGTGGTACATATGATTATCGTATACGTGATACTCTGCTAAAGAAACCATACCTCTAAAATGAATTATGATGTCCCGTGCATTGACCCAAATATAAGGATTGAATTTTGAAAAATCCCGTTTTTAGTCCAAATGTATGATCCCCACTAACTTCGAAAGGTTGATCGACCCATGCCCATCGTTGAACTCTTGGGACCTACCCTTAGAGGTCTCTCACACAAAAATTTCGATACCCAAATTTTTAAATTTGGTAAATTTTTATTCTCTTTTTTATTTTATTCTATATGGATAAACCTTCATGTTTTAAAAAAACATCTACTGGATATATCACATATCATTCATGATTTAATACAAAATTACATGAACTACGACTTCACATTAAAACATAAAAGCTCGTCTACTGTTTCATGAAAAATGAGAAAAGAAATTCTACGAATTGCAATAAATTCGTCTTGCAATTAAAAGTCAAATTAAGTAGCAATTCCCATACATAAATCGACGCTGATTTACATCTTTTCATTGACTTAAGAAAAAGAGTAGACTTTTTAAAAACTAAACTATAAAAGTTCAACCAAACTTAAATTATATTGAGTCAAGTAAGAGTAAGAGACATACCTCAAATAAATTATATTCAATGTCAAATTTTTAAACATCTGTAAAATCAGCAAAGAATAAAGGTAGACAGTAATAAAAATCCAGCAGTAAAAATTGCTTTCATAAATCGTGGAATTTATAGATAAAATGCTATCGATTATCAGAGACAAAAATTACATCATTTTGGCATTCCTAATTGAGCTTAAAATAGATTGGAAACATCGTTAGACAATTTTTTCAGCTAAAGATCATTAAAAATCCAAACATTTGCATATACAATTACATATGAAACTATATAGTTCAAGAATTTGTTGAGAACATACAAAAATCAAGACGTGATGTTATAAAACTTTATAAATATTTGATACGCGACCTATAGTTGAAAAAGCCTTGGTCTAGATATAAAATCCATTTGGGCAAAACAACTACAACAGTCTTTTTATAAAAATTAAAAGAAATGTGCAGGATTCAAAATAAATTACATTTATATGAAAAGCCCAAAAACTATATAATCAAAAGTCCTTTGTATTCAAAATAATTAAATTCAAGAAAATATCCAGAAAAAAACGAGCTCAATGTTTTTTCATTGATCATCATGATATATAATCAATTATAATCATATGATTATATAAAAATGAAATTTCTTTTCCTCTGTTTAAAATAAATCAAAAATCTAGTTTCATGGTAGAAATTTTTAGATGAAGATCAGTACAACAATTATTTAACCAACCAAATTCACAGATTAAGAATAAGAATTACCAATTAACCAACCAAATTAGCAGATTAAGAATAAGAATTACTAATTAATCAATTTGTTTTATATTTTAACATTATTAAAATTTATTCTAATTATAACAGATGTACTATTGTTAGAGTACGATGAAGCATGTACCACATGATGTAACATATTACATCAAACAAAACAATTTAATGCATGATAATTGGTTTTAAATCAATATCGATTTACAATTCTTAAAATACCAATTTTATGTTTGCCTATACCATTGGTAAAAAGGAAGTCGAAACAAATCTAGATCCATTTACGTAAAGATGCAAATCAAACCGATGGCGTTAAATTTAACTGTTACGATTACGGTCAAAAGTTAAAATTTTAATATTAATGCTTGCATTATTTTGCAGATATGTTGACATGCCGTCAAGTTCTGAATATAATGGTTATTCTTGGCTTCATGTTGAATTATGCTCTACGGGTCAACTTAACAATTGCCATAGTGGCCATGGTGAAACCGATTCTGCACTCTGATGCAAACAGCACATCTTTGGATATTGGAAACACCACGGTAATTTATAAAAATACATTAAAAAAATACTAAAAGTAACATTTTCTGTACCACTTATTAAAATTTGAAAAAACTCAGAAAATGTTAAAATAACTCAAGAAGTGGAGTGATTTGCAAACCTATCGGTCTAGTACTGTTAAATGCAACCGTTCTCTATTCAAAGCTTTGATCATTTTTTAAAAATTATTAAATAATGAATAATTAATTGTAGTCTATGTAGCAATAAATTTCCATCATATAATCTCTAAATTATTTATTCAAGTTTTTGTAAATACAAAATTTAATAATTTTTTTTTCTCAGACGATTGATGGATTAATAACGGAAGAGCCTGAAGTTACGGATAATAGATTTGAATGGGACGCCTATCAACAAAATTATATTTTAGGATGCTTTTTCTGGGGATACATTTTAACGGAACTACCTGGTGGACGATTAGCTGAGGTAAAAATAAAATACATATATTTATACTTGAAAATTAACAGTTTATATCTTTAATACAATCACTTCTAATTATTTATTATTTTCGATCTATAGATAATTGGAGGACACAGAGTTTTTGGCCATAGTATGCTATGGGCTAGCGTTTTAACCCTTTTGACACCCTTTGCTGCAAAGTGGAATTATTTGGCTGTGATAATAGTTAGAGTTTTGTTAGGATTCATGTTAGGTAAGATTATTACTTATTAAAATTTTATTAAAGAAAACGATCTTGAAATAATAAGTCATATTCCAATAGGTGCAAGTTGGCCTGCAATTCATCCAATGACTGCAAAATGGATTCCACCTTTGGATAGATCTAAATTCATTGCTAACATGATGGGTAGGTAGTAATAATAATAATATATACCAGTCCACAGTAATAATATATTTAGCAATACTTCAATTTTTCTTGTATTCTAGCATCGTCTTTGGGTGCCGCCATAACTATGCCAATTTGTGGTTACTTGATTTCATATCTTGGATGGGAAAGCGTTTTCTACTTCACAGGTAAATTATTTGACTTATGGAGACATAACTATTTTTTTATCCCAGTAATTAGTAGAAATATTCAATATGTCTCTACATTAATAATATGTTAAATGTTCTTTCTCAAACAAATCTGCATTCATAAAATTCCAATACATCTTCTTTCCATAATATTCTAAACATGTGTTCTATATTTTATATAATAGATTCTTAAAAGAATACTCTTTATTCCTCAAACTTTTCTTGTTATGTTCAGTATTATAATTATATATCTTCTTATCATATTTCTATTATTTTACAGGAGTCATCGGCCTGTTATGGTCAACTTTATGGTTCATGGTAGTATTCGACTCCCCTGCTCAACATCCGAGAATTTCTGCAGAAGAACGTGATTTTATCGAAAAATCTATAGGGGCTGCTGCTACAAAACGCAGACCATCCCGGGTTCCATGGGGCTCCATTTTCACATCTGGCCCCGTCTGGGCAATTATAATTACCCATGGATGCTCTGTTTTTGGGTACTTCACCGTTGTCAATCAATTGCCGAGTTACATGAAGTACATTTTGAAGTTTAATATTAAAGAGGTAAGGAATGAACTTCGTAACTAGTAATAAATCTAAATTTGCAAAAACAGACCTAGAAGCTGATATTAAGTGAAGCTTATGCTTATGCATTTATAAATAATGGCAGTTCTTTCTATTTCTTCTCGCTTGTTTTAGAAGAAAGCTCTATCATCGTTTCATTCATGGGATAAAATGGAATACATAGTATCTTAATATAATTATTAGACATTACTGAACCCTGACTTTTTTTAAATGATAGACAATTTTCCTTGACATCCAAGGCATTACGAAATAATTCTTGGAAGATTAGACATGTTGAAAAAAGAGAACTTAATTTTAGTGAACTGATGACGATAAATGAACGAACCTATATTGAAAGATTGCAAATCACGTTAGATTTTCAAGGTTTAAAATATCTAGTCACAACTAGTACCATGCACATCTAACTAGTGCAATCTTAAATATAACCGGTAAGAGTGATTAATGTGAGTTTATAAATTAAAATAATGATCTGAATAACGAAACGAGAGAAATTTGTAATATGTATGTTGCATCATAAACCAGCAGTAAAACGTTGACGTTGGATTTAAAATACGTATTTCAATCTATACAAAAAATCTCTGTACCACCTGCGCCTGAATAATATTGTTCTTATATGTATATAAGAGCTTTTTTTCCAATTAGCGCATGATACCTTAAGAAGATGGATCAGTTAGTAGTTTCCATATATTACACAAACGGCTATTCATTTCTGCAAATTTATTTTCACTAAAAGCATGCGTAACATGACCAAGAGTGTGCTGATGAAAACCGTAAAATATATATTTTGATTGAATTGCCATCCATAGAAGGTGTCGAAACTAATGCAATTATCGACACACAAAAATCTAAACAACGATATATCCTATATTAACTGAATTTTATTTCTTTCTGCAGAATGGGCTTTTGTCAAGTTTGCCCTATTTGGGCAAGTACGCGATGGCAATATGCAGTTCTTATTTAGCCGATCATTTGCGTCGTACTGGTAGTTTGACCACCACAGGTGCCAGGAAAATCTTCACCACGTTTGGTGAGTACTTTAAATAAATCGATAATTAAAAATGATATGTTTATAATTTGAAATACTAAATGATGTTATGTTACAGCTGTGTTGACACCAGGAATTATGATGCTTGCACAAGCCTTCTTGGGATACCAAGCGGCTTGGTCGGTTGCAATTTTCACGATCGCTTTGACCCTAAACGGCGCGGTTACCGCAGGTTACTTGGGAAATGGACTCGATATCGCGCCTAACTTTTCAGGTAAGATATATTATAAGACTAGTGGGATGCATGCCATCGTGCCTTAAGGCAAATTGCTGGAACTTCCCGTACCGTAATTAAAAATCTTGGTACGGAACCCAAAAAAAATTACACAAAATGTGTACACATTATTAAAGTCTCTATAAAATATCTGATAATTTGATGTACATATGTCCAATGAACATTTTTGACCGCCGAATAACCAGTGGCGGATCCAGCTTTGACTCCAGGGGGGGGGTCACATAATTGAATTATAGTTCTCAATGAGTATGTTAAATTTTAGGAGTCTTTGACTCCGCCGTTCGTCTGTAATAAGTTACATATTGAAGTTATAAAATGTGTTTGGCAACAAAATACATAAATAAAATCATTATGAAGTAATTTTATTGCTAAATTAGTACTCTATCTAAATCAGGGGGGATCATAACCCCCGTGACCCACCCCCTGGATCCGCCACTGCAAATGACATCTTTTTAACTTATTTTTATTGAGAGTCTATAATCACTGGACCTGCCTTCCCAAAAATTTAATCAGTTTTTCATCTTGTCAATACAAGTAAAATGTTCTTTGAATTATTGAAATCTGACGCAAAACTGAGTTACCGTTTATGACACTTTTTACCCGTATTTTCGAAACGGCTAGACCTGCCTTCGCAAAAATTAATTAACATATACATCCATTTTTTCTAAGGTATGCCAAAATGTTAAAAAACCTTTGAAACGTAAAGATATATAAAAATGTTCATTGTCGACTTTTTTGCGATTACTATAACTTACCCTACAGGAAGTTAATAAACCTTATTTTATTTTTATAAATTAATTATTTATACAAATTATGACTTGTTGTCTGAATTTATAGAAAATGCAATTTGCCCGAAAAAACGAAACTCGAAATGTTAAAAAAATTCTCATCGTTTAGTTTTATTGAGATAATTTATATTATTTTTTATAAATTGGTAAAATATATAAATATATTATTTTTTCTTTCAGGAACCATATTCGGAATGGCAAATACCCTATCATCTTTAGGAGGTTTCCTATCCGCCTTCATGGTTGGATCTCTTACTTATGAAAATGTGAGTATCAAAAACTTAGTCTTGTCATATTTAATAGAATTACAAAAAAATCCTTTTAAATATGGATCTATTTTTTACGGTTTAGTCACTAAACTGTTACAAATCGTTTTATATTTATGGTGAAGAAAGGAATATTTTGCTGGGAATGTCTCATTTGGAATATCAATTATTAGACACATCTTAGTAATTCATTAAGTTGATACTTTAGAGTTGTAGTTTCATGCATACACAAAACTTTAGTGTAATGGAATGTGATTGTTTGTTCCTGTACTAAAAAATTGTTTCAGAATTATTACAGAGATTTATAACGCATTATAAAAGTATACGATAGATACGCATGAAACTACAACTCGACTTAATGAATGGCTAAAATGTGTCTAATAATTGATATCCAAAATAACATATTATACCCTGCAAAATATTTCTTTCTTCGCCATTAATATAAAACGATTCAAGCATCTTTAGCCTTCGCCATATACGAATATACAAAATTGTTCTTACTTCTGAAACAATTCTTAAGAATCAATCTATTTTATTTCTCCAGCAAACCTACGGCCAGTGGCAAATCGTATTCTTCATCCTGGCAGGAACATATGCTTTCGGAGCATTGATATATCTACTTTTCGGATCAGGAGAATTACAATCCTGGAATGATCCTGATTGTTGCAAAAATCTCAACGATGCACAAGCTCAACATCTTCAAGAAGCTTTACCATTACAAAAGAAGCAAACGATAACTCGCGAAATTGAAACAGCGTGAAGAAATCCAGAACAGAAATTAAATAGGTAATTAGGTAAAAATGAATGGGTGATAATGAATGTAATCATTTTACATCAGTTATTTATGAGATGTACTGCAGATAAAGTTGCTGCCGATTGTGAGTAATCTAGTTTGATTATGGAAACTTTAAGGTAAAAACAATAATAGGCAGTGGGTGCATTAAGACATGCAGAAAATAATTTCTGTACAAAGTTATTTTTAATAGGGAAGTAAAGAAATGTGATCTGAAGTAACTTAACGAATCGCTTAATGAAGCCAGTTTAGCATATAAGTAGTAAAAGCATCAATATTTTTTTTTTAATTTTAAAAATATAAATTATTAAATTCGATTTTGTTCAATATAAAGTTTAAGTATTAATATATTATCCAAACAAATTTTTATATTATTTTACGACCAAAATATAAAGTTCATAGAATGTAAGTTATATTATGTCGCAGTTTGAATCAACAAAATCAATACAATTTTAAATTATTATAATTAAATTTGTCTCTTTGCTTATTCAAATTGATCAGTTTATCGCTATAAGGGTGTGTCATATTGTCATTTTCATGTATAAACGTATTTATGCAAATCTCAGGTAGGTTAAGATTGTGAATATTGTATCGTAGATTTGAAGTAAGACAATCACAGCAGTATTTAAAGCAACTAGAATCTTATATTTAAAATATATACAATAAATTAATTTCTTACATCAATCATACGCCAACTTATAAATTTGGAAATATAATTATTTATAATTATTGTTACAATAACGCTATTAGATTCGTGTTAAAAAACTCAAAAGATTTCATAATGAATTTTTTTTTATTTCCCAATGAAATAAAGTAAAATAAATTCTGTCAAGTGGCATTATTGGAATAAATTATACATAATTTTCCGCTGGTGTGCATAAGGCGTTGCAAAAGTAGCTCAAAAAATATTTGTCGCTGATTTTATTTGATTTTTTAATGTTTTAGATAATTTTATACTTTTCTATCAGATTTGAAAAACTTGTAAAAATAATTCGATAAATACCATGACTGCATTTATCTGTAAATTTGATATTATTTTTAAATAAATCCTAAATTAATTTAAAGTATACTATATAAATAAATTATTAGATTTAATAAGTTAACTTTACATGTAACGGTGTAACACAAACAAATCATTTTTAAACGTATAAAGAATTTCTTGATTTAAATTTCATAAGCCAATTGTATATAGTTCTACAATTAAACGATTCAACCAATTTTTACTCCGTTACCAAAATCTATTACTTTCTTATTTTACATATTACATGTTCAATATTTTCCAAAATTATCGTCTCAACAAAAGTTTCTTTGTATAGGGCGAATATAATTTAATAATCAGACTAAGTTCAAAAAATAAAATTGTAAGATTAATTATATCTGTATAAGAGGTAAATTAGCTAAGTAAAATATTATATATATTTTCTTATTTGTAAATAAAATACTCTTATTTAAAAAATTGTTTTAATAAATAAGTTACAATAATATTGATTTATATTCTAAATGAATTTATTTTGAATGTGAGGTGAAGTGGAGAAAAGCTCATGAAAATAGTACTTTGCTTTGCAACTACAATAAATTCTAGCGAATATCTATATCACAAAACGTTTTATTTTTTTAATAAAATAGTAATATATATTCATTTAAATTCTTGAGAATACGGCAAGAACAATCTGTAAACCTTCCAATCAAGGCCTTAGTATAATTATATACAATCAAGTTCAGGCACAGTTATATGAGAAATACAGTTAACATCTGAATAGCATACAACAAACTTTATCCTTAAACATCATTAACAATTTGAACATATAATTTCAAAGAACTATCAATATTTAATGATCTTAGACCGTGCATAAAAATACAATCATTTAAATTATTTTATCATTTGACTAATGGAGTTGACTATTCTCGAAGCCAAAATCCTAAGCAGAAGCGTTTTGTGAAGAATTATTATCATTGAGTAAAACTATTGCTATTGAAATTTCCTAGATTTTATGTACTATATAAATTTCTAGCTGGTAGTCTAAATTTTTTGATTAATTAAAACTATTCAAATTTAACTTTTCATTCCCTAATAAGCTATTATTTTAAAACTTTATAATGACATTGATCCAAATCAAATTGTTCGCTTCTGAGACAGATCATCAGGCAAGAGATAATTTTAAGGCTGAGTAATAGAAAGTGAATTACTACATCAAAAAAATTAGATGCCAACTACTTCATATTTATATGAAATTTTAATACACCCTTATGTGCAGAATAATTTGCAGTGACTAAATAAAAAAATACAATCTAATTATTTTAACACACCTTCAAAACTTATTTAATCAAATGTTATGATCAACGATTATAATAAATATGACTTTTCTATTAAGTTTTCAAAAATATTTTGTTTAGTATCCTATCAGTTTTCTCATAAGAAAACACTTATATTTAAATTTGGACTATTAAAAATTTATTATTCCTCTAGGTGGATAGAACCAGATATTCAATTTAAAAATTAAATTTGTGAAATTTAAAGTAAATTGAAGGATACGTTCAGTATTATGTTTAAAGTAAAAAATGGTATTAGTAAGGTAGGTTTAAGTGTTCAATTTCTGTATCTACAAATCTATCTTTTTGTCTGCTGTTGTGCATTTTAAATATAAAAGGGATTAAAATACAGAATGTGGTTAATAAAATATAATGGAAAGCTTTTATATTTAATTGGTTCTATCATGTCTGAATTCAATATGTTGACTCATTGTAGAGAATGTTTCTGTTAAGTTAAATCTAAATTGTCTGTAATTCAACGTATTATAATAAATATTATTTTAAATTCGTAACAATTTTCAAAATTTAAATTACCTACTCATGAAACTCAAACACACAAGATTTGAATTCACTAACGTTTGTAATAATCCTTAGTATTTAAAAGTATTATAAATAAAAATAAATATTAAAATTTAAATTCTCAAAAAGGTTTAATTTGCCTACAATAAGAAATATGATTATCACTGTATTCAATCACATTCATAAAGTAGCAAAGTTTACCATTTTGTTAAAGTGTACAATATGGTGCATTTAAAGAATTCTATTCATCATAATACTTATATTAAAATTGTATTATTAAAAAACTAGTCAACGCTTATTTAATAGATTAAGAATAAAATCACAATCAATATTAAATTTAGACTCATCAGGTTGAAAGATATAAAACAATAAAAAAATTAAAAATCGCAATGAAAACAATCGCAAATAAAATATTTAAAAAATTTCAGAAAATAAAGGTAAAATGGCAAAAACTCGTATTAAGGAAGGACTATATGGATCTATAGTGCTAATAATATTAATGAGATCAATCTATAAAGTTCTGATTAAACTTTTACGAAAACCTTAGCACAATCTTTAATAATTAAACGTTATATCTTTTAAATACTACTCATAAGATTTGTTGCAATATGATAATATACCAATAAATAAAATAAAGATAAAAATATATTCAAAATAATTTAAAAAAAATAATAAAAACTTACTAATTAAGCTGTGTGACCTAACTTTATCAATTCACCGATCTTGTGGTATCCGTATAGAATGCAGTATCTTGCTTTGCTGAAATAAAAAAAGAATGTTTTTTTTAATAAAGTTAAGATAATGAAATCATGAATACATATTCATAGCACAATTAATTTTATTCAATAAACTGCATTCACCTCATAAAGTTCTTCAGTATCTATAAAACCTCGAACAGCCACAAGTTGATATTGGCGAGCACGCATAGCGGCAGGCCCCCTTCTTAAAAGTCTGAGAGCGGCCGCTTGCGCACTGCCACTGTTAGCATTTAATAATCCCGATATTTGACTTGGTCCATGGCTTGGATCAAGTACTAGCAATGTTAAAGCACCACCACGTCGCTGCTCTATACCAATAATAGTCCTGGAATGGCCTATAAGAAATTATTATTAATATTTATTTTGTGGGTCAGATATTAATTACCAAAAAATTAATTGTCTTAATATGTATTGATTTAAATATTGCAAAATATTTAGCTAATGTAAAAAAGAAAATTCAAAACAGAAGTTGCGTAATGAATAACTGATAATAATAATATTGAAACCAATAAAAAAAATACAATTTTGACTTACCTTGGTGTTGCAAATATAAAGGTGGCACAAAATCTTGTGCATTTTCAAAATAGGACAAGACCCATTGAAACAATTCAGGATGATTACCATCTGTCGTTGTGTGAAAATCTATCAGCTGGCATTTGATTCTAAGCCACGACAATAGTGTAACAACCTATAATTAATTTTAAACTTAAAAGAAATTTGTAGATTATGCATGATGAATTTATTATATTATATTATATAGAAAATAAAATTATATTTAAATTTGCCTGTAATATCATTTTATTCATCCTACCTCTGTAGCACCAATCCACTTCCTGGTATTGTGTAGCTTACAACCTAATTGCTCTGAACCTTGAACATCAAACCCCTGAGCCCAAGCAGCTTCTACCATTCGTTGCAACCGTGAAATACTTGGGACAGCAGTACGTGCTGGACCACTTCCCCCCCAAGCAGAGTATAATGCCTCATTATAGGCCGTATTCTAAAACAGAAATATTAAAATATAGTAAATGTTCAAGAACCTAACTAATTGAATTTCATTTTTAACATAAATATTTACCTGAAGTAATGAGGATAATAACATTTGCAAATTTCTATATCCACAGCCCCATCCTCTATCACCGTAACTTGATGCATAGTGATCGGCCGCAGAACAAATAAATGTTCTTAAAACACGTGGACTTACTGCACTCAGTGCTTTAACTTTGCTTGCAATTCCTGAAAAAATAAGGATAATAATTGATATAATTTTCAATAATTACTATATATAACAAAATAGAAAGAGTCTAGCAAAGTCTTTCTCAAATTTATTTCAATGCATGTAACAACAAAGATATTTTGCAATGTAGATATAAAATATCTATGAGTAATAATTACCTTTTGTACATGAGCTGCCATCATCTATTCCATGACTTTCTGCTGCTCTTAAGCCAACCTAAAAATACCCAGCATTTAAATATATGAAATACATATTTTAATAAATTATATTAGACATCTAAATATTAATTAATGACCTGTCTTTCATAGTAATCAGCAACACTCATCTCTCCCGCATACACAGCTCTTTGCATAGCTGCAGCAGATTGTTCTCGAAAATTACCATGATCATCCATTCCATATTGGGCCTGGAGAAATATAAAATTTAAAATGTAATAAGAAATATAATATATAGCATTATATTTTCGAATATAATTTAATTTACTCATTTATTACCCTTAACATTTGAAATTCTCTCTGTTCCTGCATTTTTCGCACTTCTTTATCAAAAACAGGTGCAGCTTGAGCTCCTTGTGGACTTTTAGGAAAGTGACTTTCAATGTGCCTATTCTATAGATATTAAACAAGTCAGTATAGAGGTCTAAGGATAATGAATTAAGTATATAATGATATTTACAATATCATCCTGTAGCATATCAGAGAGACTGATACCACACATGGGACAATCATCTGAACTTGAACATTGGTTATCTGATTTGTCTAAAAGCACTGCCGGAGGCACGTTTGATTTAACTCCATTCTAAAAAAGTGAAAATATAAAAATTATTTACAATGAAATTAAAAGAAAAAAATTAAAACTAGTGGGAAAAGATAATTGAATTAATCACAAGAATATCTAGTAAACTTTTTTCTATTATTAAATCATTTCAAAACAGTATGTAACAATTGAATATAAAATAATAATAAGTAATCATTATGACTCACTGTTTCAGGACTCAAAATGTCTCTATGCTCAATATTAACATGAAGTTCGAGGTCAGGTCCAGTTCCAAAAACCCTTGTGCACAACGGGCATTGAAGGCCTGTAGTGCCATTAGTACCAGATTGATTGTTTGATGAATTTGGAACAATCGATGGTGAAACTGGATCAAAATGAATTCTATTAACATGCTCTTCTAAACTTGTGGCTGAATCACTTGTATGAGGGCATATTGGACACTACAAGAAATATATATATATAAATGTTCATTTGTAAAAGTTTTATGAAATTAATTATAGTTAACTATACCTGATGAATATTTTGATTATTGTGATGACTCTTCAACTTCAAACCCAATTGAGTCCTTAAAGGAGATCCTTGCCCAGCAGAACCATTCTTATTGTAATGTGTTTCATCACTCAAACCGTTATCTTTATGTTCTAATGAGTGTCTACTTGTTTTACTTTTTGTCCCATTACAATGATTCTTATCTTCTCTTATATTTATATTTGTATTTTTATTGGAAGATATATTTGAATTAGATTTTGGTGATTTAGAATCTCTATGAATAACACCATTGCTTTTTCCATAATTATTCACATTGGAGCTTTTATGATTATCTGGAGACACTCGTGCATTTATATTAAAATTTGATGAACTTGAATTATGTTTCGTTTTTCCATTGCATGTGATTTCATTAACAGATTGTGTTGATCTATTATTAAATTTTACATTACCACTTTCAGAATTAGTTCTATGTCCCTCTAAAGAATAATTAGATCTTTTTTCATGTGCACTGTTAGAAAGTCCATTCAAACTTGCATATTGATTGATATTAGATTTAGAGTTGTTCCGTTGTGACCAGGATTCATTCATTGATGGTGAGTTGCCACGACATTCAGATAACGTATCTGAATCATCATCAACACTATAAACAATAAACAAATATGATCATTTCATATAAAACAACATGCATTTTAAAATTAATTTAAAGTGGGCATATTAGTACACTTTCCTTAGTTTAATTATAATATCATCATAAACTAAAATACTGTACTGCAGTATTTTCAAAGAATTATATACTATAAATAATCAAATTGGGTTTTGGTTTTATAACAAACCATACATTTAAAAACATAGACTCTATGAATACTCTAGCTTGTACAAAAATTATAATATGTTTTTGACATAGAATTATATATTTTTTAATGTTTACCTAGGACTTTGATCATCAATAAAAGACATTGCTTCATTTTCTGGTGTCAAATAATCCAAATGAACTTGATTTACATGCAAAAGTAATTCAGATGGTGAGACTCCCCACATTCCACAAAAAGGGCAAGCAGCTCTTCCCTCAACATGACACGAGACAGTGTGTGCCCTCATTTTATCATCTGATAAACCAGAAAGGCCACATATCTCACAACAGTGAGCCCCTGCTCCTTCTTCTGCCATTTGATCTGAATAATTAACTTTGTTATGAAAATGTTATGTAGATTTCAATAATATAATATGAATTGCAATTTTACCTTCTTGATTATCCATTTTTTTAAGAATGCAGATTCAATTTACTTAGACATTGTTGAAGCACTATAGATTTTTTTAAGCACCTTAAAGGACATATTAACTAAAGTTATTTAAACCTTCAAACTTACACAATAATTATAATTAATGGAGGTTAGATCGATAAAACTTCCGCAATAACTAGAATGCAAGACGACCACGAACAAGGTCACACGTAAAAAATTTAAAAATAAGAGAGATGTTTGAACACAAAAGATTTAAAATGTTAATTATGATAAATTACCGTACGGTATTTGTTTAATGTTAAAATATAAATAAATCATAAGACCAGCTGATTTAATTTGGCTGTCAGTTTTCATATGAGAGGGAATGACATTTTCAACCAACTCTGTTCTGTCAATAGAAAAGCTACGTTATTCGAAAGGGTTAAAAGATGTTGTAAGCTGTTTGTTTATATATAATATTTATTGACTTAGATTTATAAATTATCTCATAAGTACATAATAGTATCTAATAGATTAACTACAATTAAATTATATGTTAAATCCCATTTTTCTCATGCAAACTTTATGTGCTTCTATCAAAGGGCCACAATTTTCTTCTCCTTTTTCTACAATACTGAAAATTGTAAAAAAATTGTTATATTTTAAATACATAATTAGGTATTGATAATAAGAATGAAGAACTTGCCATGCATCCCGAGCTTTTTTGTTTCTGGACAGGCACAACAAGCTTTGCATTTTGGTTTGCCTACGTTTTCTACTACAAGTAAATCTGGACTAGATGAAATTTCTGTTGGTTTTGCATTTGAATTACCCATTACTCTCAGTTATTTGTTAATTTATACTATCTTATAATTAATTATATTAAATGACGTAACTCAATTTTGTCTGACATTATACATATTTTAGGTTATGTTATTTGAAGTTTGTGTAATTGCAAGAATCGCAGCGTGAACTTAGCAGATTTTTGACTAAAATGTAAACAGTATAGCAAACCTAATAAAAATTATGAAAATTTAAAAATTCAAAATTTAATTATTTCTAATCTAATCTAATTAAATAATTCGTCTAATTAAATAGTTCGACATTTCTAGATAACTTTTCTTCTAAATTATCTTTTTTTGTAATGTTTCACAAAATCTCAACTTTCTACTATCATAGAATGAACAGTTTGTTTCTCAAGTAATTTTAAATAAAATTTAAATGTATCAAGATTTATAAGGCTTTGTATTATTCTTTAAAATTCCTTATATGGTTAACAACTATATTTTCATTAATAATTAAAAATTATTTAATGATCTTGATGAAATATAGCCATAAATAAACAAGTATAAATATATAGTATAGAGCAATAAATATAATTAATATTAAACATACATTTTTGTAGAAATTGTTAAATTTTTATTTTTTAATCATTTTCAACATAATAAAAAATTATAAATACACTTACATCATTTCATGATAGTCACAATAATTACAATTATATTTCTTAAAATTCGAAAACTTAAATCATTTCGAACTTTCGTCTTACATAATCATAACTAGAGTGCATCATAGATTATATAAAATTACATTATTTTTATATTTAAATTCTAGCCGGAAACTTGAGAGAGGCATTGATCAAAAGTTCCTTTGTATTTATCTGGCAGTGGTCCTCGGCATCCAAATCCTCCTAACTTGTGAATAGCCATATGATCGTAGCAGTTGATAACTCCATCACCATTGCAATCCTAGGTAAAATAGTTAAGTTAAATATATGATTTTCCAATTGTATATAACTATTTATTTCAATGCAATATAAAAAACAGATTTATGGTGTGAATTATAATTTGTCATAAAATGTGCAATATTCTTTAAGAAGAGCTATCCCAAATAACCTACCTGTCCGTATTTCAGCATATATCCTTGAATGGTGCTAGCAGCGCAGTAAGGATCATTTACACAATTAGAATATGCTGAAAAAATGCATTAAATAATTTTAATAATTACTAAAGTTAATTTTTCATTTGTGAATGTTATTTAAAATGTTTCATACCTTGTGGAGAGTCAGGACTATCTCCACCGAGCGTGTTTTTGCCACCATCAGCCCAGTAAGCCCAAGTTATGTGGAAAAGGCCGCAAACATCTCCATTGCAGGTTAAGGTCCTGTTGCAGCCACTGATGGCCTCGCAAATGCAGCCCAAGCATATTTCCGTCACTGGTTTGTCGGATTGAGCTGTAAAAAGAAATAAATAAAAATATTTGGAGATTTTTTTTATTATTTTCAACATCAATGAGAACTTGATAAACCTACTCTTTGACAAGCTTTTTAGGAGTCAATGGTTGACCCATCTTTATATTTGTATTATTAAAATTTCTTTAACGCTGAGAAAGCAATTTTCACTTGTAAACATAATAAGATATATACAAGTAAAGAATATCGCTATTGCTTGACATCAGGCTGGCTGAGATGAGAATTGATTTTGGAAACATTTCTCTGTGGTTCCAAAGCTCTAACAACTGAGACACTTCAAGATTTTGAGATATTTGGTCAAAAAATTATCTATTTTTAATTAAATCAGGATAGACCTAAGGGCCACACCCACTAGCCCAATTTATGGCAAAAGCTATCAAAAACAAGCAAGAGATTTTTTTTAATTTGATAATTTATGATTATATATACACATTCATATGATTTTATTTTTCTGAACTGAAATCAAGAATTAATCCCATACATGCAAATCGAGGTAAATGCAATAAAGTGCACGTTGTTCTATTAAATAATACTCTGCAGAATGTGTATGTGAATCAATAATATTTGATTATAAAATTCTTGTTATTGTTACATACAGTCATACAAGCGAAATATTTCATTGTAACATGAATATTTCTCTTTAAAAACAATAATAAATTGACGCTCTTACTTCGACCAACACTGCAAAACATTAGTCATATGGGAAAATATTTAATTTTAATTCACAATCAGTTCATTATAATGAATATATTTCAGAAATGTATGTATGTATTTCATAAAATGTATCTATATCTTAACAATGGATTTCAACAAACAATTCAACTCAATTTAGCAAATACTATTTTAATAAATATATGATTGAAGATTTAATTTTGTATTATACAAGAATTGCATTGTTAAATGAAATTCTTTTTGAAATAAAGGTAATAATTAAAACAGTAATTTAATAAAATAGTTAATGACGTAATAAAGTTAAAACAAAGTCAAAATTATATTCAAAAATTGATTCAAATGTATTAATTATTAACTATTTGTCAATTTAGCTTATAGGAATCCTTATGTATTTCTGATTGCTGAATAAAACAGAGTTTAAAAAAAAATTATGATATATAAACACACACACGTATATATATATATATATATATATATATATATATGTGTGTGTATGTGTGTGTGTGTATTTATATATTGTGCAATTTTTTGAAAGTTACAATTATTACTTATTCAAAAATTCTTGTAAGAATGTTTACCTTAAAAATATATCTTGCGAAAAATAAATGTAGTAAATAAATAAGAAGCTATAAATACACAAGCAAACACAATTAAAAAACACTCTCATTTTTACAAAATCTACTTTACGCAAATATTTTTCTCCTTATTGCATTTTGTTGTCAGATAAATGTATCTGAGAGTTGATCATGAATTTAAATTTGCCTCGCCCTCGTGTCGATCTTGTCTTGCATGTGAATAAATAAATTAACATAATTTAAAAATAATTTAAATATACGAGACTAGAATAAGTTGAATCTTACAAAATTAACACATGTGATTCAAAGAATTGCGAATTAACCCGTTATTGATAGCTATAAACCGTTAGTTTAGCTTTTTATTACTACCGAATTTATGTACAAAATTTATAAAACCAAAACTAGTTTATAAGTTAAAATTTATTGGACAACTAGCTTCTCAATGAGATGGAATTATGGTTTTGCAACAGCAAAAAGACAATTAGCAGTTAACTCTATTTTCACCTGAATAAGAAGACTGACTACTCTACTAGATCTATTAGGTAATTTTCTTTTTTAACATAAACAGTATAAAAATTTCATCTTTTCGTATAAATATTTGAAAAACCAAACAATTTAACTTATGTTTGATTGTCTATATCAAAATACTAGATATGGTTTTTCATCAGAGCAAAAAACACTTACTAGGTAAATTTTTTCGGAACTCCTCTTATTTACATTTTAAGCTCAAAATTCCTTAATGTTTGTTAAAGACGAACTGTAATTTAGAAAATGAAAAAGGGCAATTACATAATATCTATAAATAAAGACTAGATAAATCAGTAACTGGTATAAAAAAAAATATGTTTCTTTATTCCACAATAACAAAGGAAACGACTGAAATTAATATATGCAAGGTTTAATCCGCTGGGTCAATACCAAAACATCAAAAATGTCCCTGATGCGTATTGAATTATTATTATATTTTTTTACAAAGAATACTTCCAAAGCAATGGTCGTTTATTCAAAAACTTGTTCTTCAGCATTGAGTTTATTTATAGAAGTGAGCCATCGCCCGCAGTATTAAAGCACCTTGTTTAATCAAACAGCCTCATCGAAAATAAAATAAAAGAATTGTTACTTCAAATTCTGGGAATCTTATATGTCAAATTCAATTACGACTATGTTAATATTATGATAACAATGTGTTATTAAAATTAATCACTGTAAAGGTGAATTTCTGTTTGCGCGCCGTTCTGTTATTTGATGGAAAGATTGGCAGATGTGGAATGATAAAAAGAGTCATGCCAAACATTTTGCATCAATTAAATTTTTACAAATAAATAAGCTGTTAAATACCTACATAATTTGTAAATGGTTATTTGCACGTATATTCATTTATGCTGAAGAGCTTACAATACAACCAAAACTCAATCACCTCTGCAGCCTGATATAAGGCAGTAGTGGTATCAGTTTTTACTTGTAAAATGTAGATCAAAAATATGATTCCAAGTGAAAATAGCCCTTTACCATGGCTGCATCAAATTTCAAGAAAACACGAGAATTATTGGAATTCTAATAATGAAAATATCAAATATTTATAGACCAACAGTTGTGATGCCTTCTGAGGGCAGCTCATAGGAATAGGAAAAATAACCATTTCCCATGGCTGCTTTAAGTTTAAAAAAATCATGAGAATTATTAAAATTCCAATAGTGAAAATATCAAATATATATAGGCCAACCGATGAGTTGCTTTCTGAAGGCAGCTCGTAGGAGTCTTCAAGTTCTGGTTGCTAATTTGATTTCGTGTAATGGGTAAATTTGCAATTAAATAGTTTATAAGATTTAGTAGAAGGCATCCTAATGTTTATCCCAATCTATTTATGATATATTTTTATTAGGATCCGAGTTTGCCATCCTTAATTCCCAATTGTTACTAATTACTAGAAGCTAAATATTCTAATTAATATTATATTCTCAATTCAAATTTGGAATATCAACTTGAAGGTACAGCTATTTATCACTTGAATATATATTTTTGATATGTTTCAGCTTGAATATTAAGTAAAAATAGATATCACTGCTGCTTGTTATACACTTTAGACAAAAAAAAAACTTTGAAGGTAATCTGTGGTAGAAATCCTTCAAGTGCAATTTAGTAGTATTGATTTGTAGTTTTTGATTTGATTAAATTCTACAAAATGATTAAATGGTTTCTAAGAAAGATTCTGATAAGCATCACTAATAAAAGTATCCGGGTTTGAGAATTATATTCCTGTTATAGAATAAATTATGGACATGACGCTTATGACAATAAAATTATTATAAAGTAAACCATTACATCATAATTATATCTATTCACGCATCTTCATATGGTGATGACACGATTATGCACAGCTGTAAATTATAATTATTTTATAATAAATAAATTACCATGATTTCTTGCTTTATGCAGAAGTTCTCAAACTTCTACAAAGTATAAATTGTTAAAATTACATTTTAATTCGCGTATTAGTAATGTGATTATTCTCTATATAAAGTGTTTTAGAACCTATTTTCACATTTTTCTAAAATTATAAAAGCTACAATTATAGTATTTAAAATTTGTATTGTGTATTTTATATCGAATGGAAAAAACAACTACTGAGTTGTTTTTTCCAACATGCCAATGTAGTATACAATGTCCCTTTTCGGCCGACTATTGTAAATTCATCAAATTTACTGAATGTCCTTTACTGGACAGTTGTAAATAAAAGAGTTAATAATAAAAAAAAAATTGTACTCCTAAAGATTAAAATAATCCCAATTATTACACATATGAGAACTTGTTTTGTTGAATGACTAAAATCCGGTTGTAATTAAATACATCCGATCAGATTGTATATTAAGTTCTCTGAAAATTCAAACTTGTTTTAGCATTGACTGCAAAAATAAATATTATTCAAAGATTAGATTACAAAAATATAAACTGTTATAGTACGCATGAGGTAAGTATAAGCATATTTCAGATTTCAAATCGATATTGAAGCAATTTATTTTCAAATTAAATTTATAGCTAAGATTTTATGTGCATTTATAAAATCATGTGTATAAAATTCAATTTTTATAGGATATAAGACTTACAGAAATGAGAAAAAAAATGTGTATACAAAAATAGTTCTTTAGAAAATTATTTATCATTTTTTTTAATTTATTTATTTCTTTTGACCTCTACCAAAAAAAACTATAAGAATAAATCAATCAGTTACATAAATGTTGTAGCCAAATCTTATGACTTACATTTCTTAAAGAAGCTTCCAAAATATAATGTCCTAGAAAAATCTTGTTTTATAACAAAGAGTATTATCGTTCTTAGAACCAAATGAAATGCAAATGAACGTGATTCAATGAAAACATAAATATTATATTAGCCTAGTGGTCAGAACTCAGGGTAGATATTTGCCTCGGGCAGCCTGATGTCAAGCAGCATTGACATCAGTTTTCTCTTAGAAATATAGATAGCAAATGTTTTCAATTCAAAGTAACCCTACTCGACATTGGGTCACCAAAATATCATCAGTATTACAGAAATTTTAATAATAAATTCATCACATAGAGAAAACCATTAGATAGTCTTATATAAAGCCTTGTCGTTTGAACAAAAGCTCATAGGATGCATTAATTTCTAATTGCTATAATAAAAAAAAAATAACAAAAAAATCAGTTATTACTAACAGAAATCTCAATTTTTCGAATTAATAAACAAATCTTAATCTCCATCTCCATCTCCATCCGAGTCAATTGCCACAATGCTAAATATTCATAAATTCAAATAACCAGGTACGATTACTTACAGTTTGTGAAGTAATTATTATACCACATATTATGAGATCAACCTTGAATATTTCATATTCTAATTACATCATATTATAATAAAGTTCGTGTGGGAATTGGCAATTGAGTATTCAGATACAAAGCGATTCTTAGAACAATAATATAAACACGAAAGGTTGACATGGAGAAGCTCAGGTTTTTTCGACTGGGATTTAGATAAAACTTTGTATGGTGACACCATAAAATAGTAATAAGTAATATTAGATTTTTTTGAGATAGCAAGAGAAACCAAATAGGAAGAATTAGCTTTGAATATTTTCCCATTTTTAATACCGATCAGGACCTCTGCCCATTAGCTATTATGCAAAACTTTTCCTTTTCCTCAGTATTTTTATGGCAACCCAATGGTTAACATATCTATGTTTGATAGATTTTTTTATTAGAATTAATCTAATAGTGACCAAATATTATCTAATTCGATAAAGAAATATCCAAGAAGAGCTATTTTCAATTGAAAATATATTTTGGATCTATATTTCCAAGTAATATCCAAGAAGGGCTATTTTCAATTAAAAATATATTTTGGATCTATATTTCCAAGTGATATCCAAGAAGGGCTATTTTCAATTAAAAATATATTTTGGATCTATATTTCCAAGTGATATCCAAGAAGGGCTAATTTCAATTGAAAATATATTTTGGATCTATATTTCCAAGTGTATAGAATAACGTAAAAACACTCGCAAGTGGTTGTTCGTAAAAATATATTATTAGAATAAAGTGCTTGGGTGCATATTTTTTTATTTATATAACGATTTGCAAGATAAATACATCACAATATATCTGGCACCATTTATAACCAATGTTATTTAAAATTAATTAAACAAGGTATGAGGTCAAACTAATTAAACAAGCATTAGTCAAAACATTAATCACTTCTTCGCTTTGAAATTAATAATATTTTTAAAACTTATGTATATTATATTTCAACAATGAAACTTCTTTGGACACTTGATATTGCTTATAGGTCAATGGCTTCCGTGTTCTTGACCTTCTGTTTTTACAATATACATAATTAACATGAACATCTGTGTAAAATAATTTGTAATTAACCTATCAACAGTAATTATGTTATTATTCAAAATTGTTGAATACAAGTGATTCGTCGTTATTTTAATAAACTAGGCATTTACTATGACTTGGACAAATCACAAATCGGTTTGGCAACAATTTTAGTTGCATTGAAAAAAAATTGACGGTATAAAACTATTAAAAACAAAATAATATCGTCAAATATTCATCCTTCACAATATAAAAATATTATTAAATATTATCTTCTTGATAAATATTAAATGATTTTATAATATCAATTACCAAAAATGCTCAATAACCATCGATCATCCGACACACCTATCCAACAACCTCATTTTAATCCATATGTCAATAATGGAGGAACAGTTCTTGCTATTGCTGGTGAAGATTTTGCAATAATAGGTGCAGACTCCAGACTGAGCAGAGATAATTCAATATTGACCAGAAATCAGAAGAAATTGTTTCCATTGACTAAACATACGGTATTGGCATCGACTGGCTGTTGGTAAGCAATGAAATAATCGAAAATTTGATATTATTAGCTATAATAAGAGAACTGTATATTGATTTCTTTGGTCACCTCAGTTTTCTACCTTGTTCAGTCAGTTAGTCTATCCAAATTAATGCTATCCAAAACAAATTGGCATATAATAATGGAACTATATATTGATTTTTTTGGTCACCTCAGTTTTCTAACTTGTTCAATCAATTTGTCTAGTATTAATGCTACCCAAAACAAATTGGCATATAATAATGGAACTATATATTGATTTCTTTGGTCACCTCAGTTTTCCAACTTGTTCAATCAGTTTGTCTAGTATTAATGCTATCCAAAACAAATTGGCATCCATTTAATGCCTGTCCGCAAAATTTAGAATTTCGGTGCACAGGACCTTAGTATCAATATGAAATAAAAACTTAAATTTTATTCCTACGAGATAATTAAAAATTCAGAAAAAAACTGACTGAACCAATTGTTGATAAGATCCGAACCAATAAAAAGAATCTGTTACCAGCCATTACCATCAGAAGTTGAACTGAAAGACCTGGATTGATTCATATCTTATACATTTAATTATTAATTCATTTCATATATAATATTTATTTAATTTCTTCCTTCAGGTGTGATACATTGGCTTTAACAAGTGCTATATCAATTAAGAAAAAGATGTATGCATATGAACATAAGAAAAATATGACTACGACAAGTATTGCCCATTTAATATCAATGATGATGTACAGCAAACGGACATTTCCATATTTTGTGTATAATATTGTTTCTGGAATAGATGAATTTGGAATGGGATGTGTATTTAGTTATGATGTTATAGGTAATAATAGACTCTATAAAAACACTCCTCATTTTTAAAAGTTGCTATATGGAGAATTGAAAGTATATCATCATATCAGATTTTAAGTACCTCACAATATTTAACAAATATTTTGCAATAATAATATTAAATCTGATTAGCTTCAAAGAAATTGAAATATAATTTATGACCATTTTTCCTAGGGCATTACGATCGTGTGATGTACTATGCAAGTGGCTGTTCTGGTCCACTACTTCTGCCTCTCCTGGACAACCAAATTGGAGGAAAACATTTGAACAAAGAGAAAGATGAAGACATTCAATTGACCACAAATAAATCAGTTGATGAAGTTTTATCAATCGTCAAAGATCTTTTTACTACTGCTGCTGAACGCGACATATTTACTGGAGATGGAGTTTATATCAATATCATAACTCTAGATGGCATTGAGGAACAATTTTTCAATCTACGTCAAGATTAAGTAATTCAAATGGGAAAAATAATCTAAAAATTTAAATATATCAGTTCGGCATAATTCTAATCGTCTGTCTTTTGAGTTAAGTAGATCAACCGTATTATCAATGTAAGAGTTCAAGAAGTC